GCAGCAGCATCCAAATTGCCCGACCCCCGGGCCCCCCGAGCTGCTGAGGGGCCCCTCAAAGACAACGGAGGCCGCGGGGGCAAAGAAGGCAGCAGCGAAGTGGAGGCGCTGGCTGCTGCAGGCCTCGCGCACCGCCAAGGGCCTGAGCCGCAAACCCTAAACCCTAAACCCTAAACCCTAAGCCCTAGTGGCGCGGCCGCTGCAAGCACGCGGGCCTGCCGATCTGCGACTCTGATGGGCAGCGCCCTTTTATTGCACTTTACTTCTTCACTTTGAAAAATGCGCCCAAACGCCCCACAACCACCCAGAAGCAGCAGCAGCAGCAGCAGCAGCAGCAGCAGCAGCAGCAGCAGCAGCAGCAGCTGCGTCTCACTTCTGACAACTTCATCATCACTCCCAGCGCACTGGCGCCTCCTGCTGAGGGGCACAGGACAAGAGGGCCCCTCTCGTTGCCTCGAAGGGGGCCCCCGCGGCCTTTGTTCATTTGTCCTGCTGCTGAATGAGGCCCCCAGGGGGGCCCCCAGAGGGGCCCCAAGCTGCTGCAGTGACTGGGCCGAGGCCTCCTCGCTGGCATTCCGTCTCTGTTCTTTTGCTGCTAAGTCGCTTCTTCGGCTGAGGCTGCTGTTGCTGCTGCTGCGCTGCAGCGCAGCAGCAGCAGCAGCAGATTGACCAGTGGACCTCAAGCCGCGGCCGCTTGCTGACCGGGACATAGCAGTTGTAGCCACAGTGCTGCTGTTGCTGCTGCTGCTGTGCTGCACGAGCTGCGGCTGCTGCTGCAGCTGCTGCTGCTGCTTAACTCCGGAAGCAGCAGGAGGTGCTGCTGCTTTCATGCTGTAGTTGCTGCTGCTGTTGCTTCTAAGCTTCTGTCCAGCGCCGACGCTCCCACTGCGGCGGCTGCTATCTCCTGAGCGCCTGCAGCAGACATGTCCATTCTGCTGCTGCTGCTGCTGCTGTTGCTGCTGCTGCTGCTGCTGTTGCTGCTGTTTCTCGCTGGCCGTCGCGGCTGCGTGGGCGCAGCAGTGGGCCTTGGCGCCCGCGGGGAGCGTGAGGGCTGCTGCTGCGTCGCAGTGCCTGCGTTGCTGCTGCTGCTGCTGCTGCTGCTGCTGCAGCAGCGCCTGCTGCAGCCGCG